CAGGGAGGATGAGGCCCACTTCTAGCAGCTGATGTGGAGGTGTGAACACCAAGGGAGGAGAAACTGCTTTTGTAATTGGCTAGCCATTCACAGTCTTAGTTTCTCTCTGAAGTCTGGTCTTGAAGTTTTTTTGCTGCAGGATGGCTACCTTTACATCTGCTACTGTGTGTCCAGGAAGATTGAAGTGTTCCCCTACAGGTTTTTGTATGTTGCCATTGCTAATATCTGATTTGTGTCCATTGATTCTTTTACGTAGGGACTGTCCTGTTTGGCCGATGTATATAGCAGTGGGGCATTGTTGGCACATGATGGCATATATTACATTAGTGGATGTGCAGGAGAATGAACCAATGACAGTATGGCTGATCTGGTTAGGTCCTGTGATGGTGTTGCTGGCGTAGAGACATGGGCAGAGTTGGCACCGAGGTTTGTTGCAAGGATTGGTTCCTGAGTTAGAGTTACTATGGTGCAGTGTGTAGTTGCTGGTGAGAATATGCTTCAGGTTGGCGGGTTGTCTGTGGGCGAGGACTGGCCTGCCTCCCAAGGCCTGTGAAAGCGAGGGATCATTGTCCAGGATGGGTTGTAGATCACTAATCATGTGTTGGAGAGGTTTTAGCTGAGGACTGTAGGTGATGGCCAGTGGTGTTCTGTGGTTTCTTTGTTGGGCTTGTCCCGTAGCAGGAGGCTTCTGGGTACACGTCTGGCTCTGTCAATCTGTCTCCTCACTTCCTCGTGTGGGTATTGCAGTTTCAAGAATCCTTGTTGAAGATCTTGTAGGTGTAGGTCTCTGTCTGAGGGGTTGGATCAAATGCGGTTGTACCTCAGTGCTTAGCTGTAGACAATGGATCATGTGGTGTGTCCGGGTTGGAAGCTGGAGGCATGAAGGGAGGCATAGCGGTCGGTAGGTTTTCGGTATAGGGCAGTGTTTATGTGACCGTCAATTATTTGCACCGTGGTGTCCAGGAAATGGACCACCTGTGTAGACTGGTACATGCTAAGGTTGATGGTGGGGTGAAAGCTGTTGAAATCGTGGTGAAATTCTTCCAGAGTCTCCTTACCATTGGTCCAGATGATGAAGATGTCATCAATGTAGCATAGGTAGAGAAGGGGCGTGAGCAGATGAGAGCTGAGGAAGCGTTGTAGGTCAGCTATAAAAATGTTGGTGTATTGTGGGGCCATGCGGGTGCCCATAGCAGTGCCACTGGTCTGGAGGTATATATTGTCACCAAATCTGAAATAGTTGTGTGTGAGGATAAGGTCACAGAGCTCAGGCACCAGTTGTGCTGTGGCATCCTCAAGGATACTGTTCCTGACAGCTTGTACTCCATCTATGTGTGGGATGTTGATATAGAGAGCCTCTACACCCATGGTGGCTAGGATGGTGTTTTCTGGTAGATCACCAATGCACTGTAGTTCTGAGGAAGTCAGTGGTGTCTCGGAGATAGCTGGGAGCAAAGGGTCTGAGTAAAGAGTCCACATAGCCAGACAGTCCTGCGGGGAGAGTGCCAATGCCCGGGATGATTTCCAGGTTTGTGGATCTTGGGACTTATTCTTTACTCTGACATCAGTATGTTGGTGTCTCCTTCCCAGGGTTATTTCAAAGCTGTCTTGTTCGTAACAGTGCTTCCTTCTTAACATTCCAAGATCATCCATACGTCTGCCATGTATTGGACCCAATTTATGCTACCTTAACACCTCTGAGTTTTCCAGCACCCTCCCCTATAAGTAATGGAGATGCCTATCTCCTAGAACTGGAAGGGACCTTGAAGGGTCATTGAGTCCAGTCCCCTGCCTTCACAGCAGGACCAAGTACCATCCCTGATGAATTTTTGCCCCAAATCCCTAAATGGCCTCAAGGACTGAACTCACAAAAGGTATCAACCTAATACAAAAGCTTCTGTTAGGACGAACTTTCAATTCATTCATTATATTTTCTTTGTATCACAAACCATATTCTGCCCACAAAAGCGCAGGGACCCATCTCCACGCTCGGTTAGTCTCGGAGGTGCTGCCAGAGTTACAGCTGTTCCACATTCATGCTTACACTGCAATTCAGCCGTGTCTCATAAAACATGGCACAATTGCACACACAGCTCAGATTGGCAGGCCCCGTGTCACCTTCCCCTGCAGCTGGGGGCCGGCTCCCTGGCAGGGTTCCACTCGGCTCCGTGGTGGGGTCTCCATTGCCTGATGTATTTAAACCACAGTTTGAGGCCCTCAGAGACTCGGCCAGAGCTGAGGCTGTTACAGGAAGAGGGTGGAGGCAGGTTCTGGGGCCTGCGATGGGCAGGAGGCTGGATGAGATGACCCTGATGGTTACCTCTTCTATCCTTTACCTCTCCTCTCCTGCGCTGTCCTGGCCTCTGGCCCGTGGCTTACCCTCTCTGTCTCCCCCCAGTACCCCCCGAGGTCTCGGTGTCCCGCAGAGCCGCCCCCCACGGCCCCGTCACCCTCTCCTGCCGCGCCAGCGGCTTTCCCCCGCGCCCCCT